ACTACTTAGTTTTTTAAAGGTAATGGAAGTGAAGTGTTTTCTGAAAAAAAAGTCCAAATCAGGTATTAATTGGGACCAGATCCAGGGTTGTGTACCCCTATGGGCGGTTCCCTCTTGTTTACACCATCAATCCTTCCATACTATCTTCCAGAACAGCAGCAGTCCTATTTTGGTTATTTGTTGGCCTATGCAGTGAGCACCAATCATTGAGCACGTTGTGCAGTTTGAAACTGCTGCTCAGAGAGCCATTCTTCATCATCTTAGAGATAASGCAGCAAGTACCTCAGCTAAATTTTGATTTTACCTCCCTGAAGCAAGTAAAAGACGATTTTTTTTTCTAAACTATAATGAAGGTTAATGTTAGAGAGTTTTGCCCCCTATTACAACTGATATAAGAGGGTAAGATAATGTAGAAGAGTGGTGCAAGATTTACAGTACGTAGGTAAACTGATTATACATCAAGATAATTTTTAAGTCCACAATCCACAGTGGAGTAAATTTAATCTAGTGTGTAGCGCTTCCTTTCTTAAAAATGACATCAATAGACATCATATATTGGTTAGGCACATAAAGAACCAATGAAGGAAAGTTTAGTGTAGGTGTGCTTGATAAAATAGTAAGTAATAACATTTAAATGAGATATATATGCTTTTAASGGGTGATATTTAGCCACTAGAAAAAGCATATGTCAGGCAGGTTGTTCCATCACTGCAAGAAATATTTCCAAAGTTTTACGGAGGTCAGCTTCAATGAATACAATGGTTCTACCCAAGCCTGTAAATAGAGATCACTGTTTCAAACTTGTCATTTGTCCTGTGTTTGCTTCTTCTTTTTCCAGGTGGTGTTCACAGCTAATGATACTGGTAACTGACATTATACCATTGCCATGGTATAATACATTATAATATTATACATTAGGCAGTGAAACAACGGAATAGAAACTGATATGAACCATGAAATTTTAGATTTGTAAATTAAATTTCCATAAATAATAATTTCTGACTGTAGCAATAGTATTAGCACTTGCAGAACAATATTCATAGTAAAGCATTAGCAGTAACTATTAGGTTACTTATTCACTTTTACTTTCTTTCAACTATTCTTCTGAATAAAAATATTCAGAGAAACACTTGTTTAGAGATGGCAAAAATGGATCAGGGTTGGAACAAATACACTATAATTCTATCATTGAGAGTCTGAGAACAAATCAAAGTCTTCCCTAAGGCTGGTAATTTCCACTCCTTCTGGCATAGAAGTGAACAGATTATATTCAAAAAGTGTCTTATAATAAGAAAAGGTAMAGGAAACGCAAACCACAACTTAACATAATTTGTTTCCCATAGAGATAAAATAGCTTGGGATCACTACTTAAGGTGTCACAAAGTAACAAATCATCTAATCTCCCAGGTCATTATTTGAAGATATGGATGCAAAAGTAGTTTTCAATTGACAGCAAGGTTGAATACCGTTTAAGATGCTACACCTTTGAAWTCCCCCCTTTCTTCCTCTTAATACACCATCAGTGGGAACACTTACAAAGAGTACCATATCCRATACAGAAGTATATACAACAAAAAAATACTTCATTTGTGAATTATCATAGCATTCTGCATTTTTTTGTGAATTACCATAGCATTCTGCAAGTACTTTTGCACTGCAGGTACTTTAAAGTACTAAAATACTAAATATTATTTAATAATACTAAATAATTTTAATACTAGATTTAGTAATACTAAAATACTTCCACACCTGTAAGTTTTAAGCAGTTCTGGAATAAAAAATAAATAAATAAATAAATAAATAAATAAAAAAGGATAACTGATGATTCTTGAGAAAATCAAATCCTTATTTAATGCCAAAAGAAATACAGATGAATCCTTCCACTTTGCATTTCATCCATACCAAAGCAAAACTACTTCTAAAAGAAAGTTAAGTATAGGGAAGAGACATTGGAACACTCAACAGCAAACCTCCCTTGGAAAAGTAGGCAAAAAAWTAGTCATGCAGTCTAGAAAAATCAAAAGTTGAAGACAAAGGCAAAGCACTAATATATAAATACTAATGAAGGGAAAACACTAGTTAACCTAAGGCTTTGATTCAAAAACAGCCTAACCTTATGCAATTATTTTCCAAGTTCCCCTTCCTTTTGCTGTCAGTTAAAGGAATTGAACTCTAGGAAAGATGAGTACTTTGGTTATACACAAAACAAAAATCAACATATGCCCTCCAGAAAACCTCAGAATAAACAAARCAACACAATCTTTAGAACATTATATTTCATAAAAGACAATGATAAAAAAGTACAAACATTTTCATGAACAGTAAAACAAAACAAAAACAAAACCTAAAACTATGATAGTACACAGGAAATTCCCAGCATTTGTTTCAGTGCATTTTTCATTAAGTCTAACTTATATAATCTCTACAGATAAAATAATCTTAAGTACACTTCCTCTGGCTGATATGCAACATGTCATTTTAATATTTTTAAATAACTAGCTCCTTAGTAACCCACTACAAYATAGCATTAGTAAACATAATGATAGAAAAATAGACCTGAAAGAGCCAAAAGGAACATATATTTGCACTATTTTTCAATATAATCTCTGTTTCAAAATGGATTTGTTTCATATCCTACTTAAATTTAAAACTGTAAATTTAAATTTACAGTCGGTGGGCTTAAAAGTGCCTTAGCTTATCAGCTACATTTTACCACCAATGTTTCGGCAACATTTTTACTTGTTAATTTGCAAGACTCAGAATCTTGAAAAATATTTCCTCTATTTTCTCCATCCATATTAACTCTTCCAACAGAAAACATATTTATTTTGCCTTCTTACAAATAGAAAAGCCAATGTGCTTGGCTTTCTATATTTTACAAGAGTTATGAAAATATCAAAAGGAATGTGCACAAGTCTTAGTTCTGCATCTGATTTATTTTGTTTGAAGGCACTGTCTAAGTTAAAATTCGTTACAGGATAGTACCCAATGCAAGCAGGTAGTATAAATATGCTATTTTGGTGTAATTTAAGATGGCAACTTTTAAAATTTCCCAAAGCAATTTTTTTTTTTGGTTAACAGTTGGTTAATATTTCCCAATTTAACAAAAGTCTTTTACCTTCAAGAAAAGTATTAGAATCTCAAAGATAACAACTATATGTCATAACCAATTCACCTGTTTAAGTAACATTTTTAAAAATCACACATGATTAATCACTTATACCTGTAAAGTTATATTAGCTCAGCTACAGCATATTAATGTGCAATACAGGATATATATGTATATACATATATATATGCACTAAAATAAAAACTGCACATTGATTTCACAGATYGCCTTCCATATTCTTAACAAAAGGGCACAAAAGCATGCTTCAGAAAAAGGTACAGACCTACGCTACTGAAAGATGCCTCATAACTGAAGGTGTGAAATTGTAAAATACTGCAAATCAGATATCATTTCAAAATTACATAAGGGATTTGAAAAATAATGCATTACTTCAGTTCTTAAAGAATTGTATTAAGTCTTTTATGAAATAAGACCAATTTTATTTTGAGGATATAATTGTTCATACAGTATATTAACTATTTTGCATTTACCCATATACTCCAGAATATTTTATACATTTAGTTATAGAAAAATATATCAGGACGTAATGAAACCACTTAAGCATGCTTTAGAARGATGTTTTGTTCACTTTATATTCACTTTTTTGTTATTTGCATTACATCATTGCTAAAGCATATTAGATAACTGATAAGATTATCTAATCATTCCAATATAGTTAAAAATATCCCTTACAATCTGCTCTCAACTACTTCAATCAAATCATTACATTTTTTATAAAATACTTGGGATGTCTACAGATAAGCTATAATATTACTTAAGAATGGCTAAGGGCAAAATTTACTGCTGGGATACCAAGAAAAACAACAACTCTGTTTATGGAAAAAAAAAAAGAAAAAAATAAGAAATATACACAGCACCACACTCTTTGTGGCAGTAATTCAGGAGACCAACACACAGCAATGAGTTAAAGTCATCATTCTTTGTCAACACTCTTACAGAACACTACTGATAAACAACTCTTATCACATACTGCTTTCCTTTCTTCATGGGAGCAGAAGTCAGTCTTTGGTTCTTAAAGAGTTGAATTGTGACAAATAGAACAGTGCAGTAGTTCTTGGTCAATATCTTTGCATTAACATAGGAAATAAACAATTCAGTCTATTTCCGTAGTATTCACCAGGGATGTATAAAAATATGAGGAAAAGATAACGTTCAGGAATGGGATACTTTCAGGCAGTATAACAATACAAGCAAACATAAAATTTGAAGATACAGTTTTCACTCTGAGTCAAGGAGAGAGTAATTGCTCACACATTTAACACCACTAAAACAGAGAAACACACAGGGCTTATTCCCAGTAGGTCTGTGCAACCTCAATCTCATTGAAAGTCATTGACTTGAGGATGCTTAGTGCATCATAGAAATATTCAGCACTCCACTAAAATAGGCCCTTACAAACTATATTAAATATATTACAGGTGGAATTTTAAAAAGCACTTGGGACTGGCCTAATTTCAATTCCACTTATGCTGTCATAATCACTGCACTATTTTGACCARCACTCTGTGTTTCTGAAAATTCCACACTGCAAGCATTAGGACTAGATTTTATTAATAGTGTGACTTGAATATTCTTCCAGTGAAGATACATTTTTGGCGCTTCTGATTTTGGAGGAATGAAAGTGCTGTTTACAAGGTGTTTAAAAAGACTAGAGGAGGGGGGGAGGTGAGTGAGAGAGGGGGAGCGAAGGAGGGAAGGGGGGAGGGAAGGAGGGAGGGAAGGATGGGGAGGAGGAGAGAGAGAGAGAGAAAGAGAGAGAGAGAGAGAGAGAGAGTGAGAGAGAGAGAGAGAGAGAGAACACAATACCAAAATACGGTTCACATCCACACCCAGACACATGTTAGGCATTAAAATCCCTGACATGGACACCAGTGGCACACGTGAAAACAGAGTTCCTGTAGATCATAATACACAACCACTACAGGATTTTCTATAATACACATGCAATATGCATATAGATATGATTTAGATGGCAGGCAGCGAATCATAGCATTTTGCTGGCAATAAATAAAATTAAAAGCTTTCTTTCTTGCAAGTTCATAGATGAAACTGATTCTTCTATATAGATATGCAGGAGGCCTAAAGCTCAAAACTAGTATAACAGTTTACAGTCATAGCTGGCCAACAATTAGTACTTCCTTCATTTCACATAAGGTATAACCTCTTTTAAGCATACTAACATTTTACATTTGTTCTTTCATGCTAATAAAAACATTCTTATATAATTCAAACAAAAACACACTCAAATACATACAGCAGCATAAAATATTCAGCAATTTGAAAGCAATGTACACACATTAATTTACATCACATATTTACAAAACACAGTTTAAAAAGGAACAAAAGCATTCATTTAAATATAGGGAGTGGAAGAAGAGAGGGAGTAGTATAAAAAATTCCTGGAAGAACTTCCAGACAAGCTACAGGTCTGTTTCTGTGGTTTTGTTAATTGAGTGGTTAAGACAGAGAACACAGAGAACAAAGGCTTGCAGTAATTTCATGCTGTAAACATCTGAGTGGTAGCTGATGACTTTTCTTTCAGAATAAAATGGTACATACACTACATCATTTTATTTCCCCATCCTAAATATGAATCATCAAATGGTCAAAAGTCACCAATTCTAAGGTGCTACTTTTTCATAGTGTCTTTAGCGTATATTAATAGCTTCCAGTACTAACATTTACTCCAGTAGCGTAGCCTGTCATTTAATTTCCATCAATAGTCCCTAACAGGAGCAAGTTCTGGTATGAGATTTACAGTTATGTTTTTATATAGCCTACTGACAAGTATTTTAGGAGTATATATCAAATTGTTCAATCCATCAATGTACTGACGTTCTCTAGAATACCTCAGAAGTTTGTATCTGTAGAGGGAATTGGAAGGAGAAAACATGAAAAGGATTTGGAAGAAACAGTTTAATTGATGTTATATACAACACTGTTATTTAATTGTGAAATACTGCATGCGTCTCTCAGCACTTAAAAATTAACAAGTTTCCTATACGAGCCAGTTAGTGTTTGCAAGTTTTCTCTAAACACTTCAGTGTTTAAAACCTATACATTTAGATGTGCAAATCTCTTTAACCTTAAGATTTCTACATTTGTAATCACCTTAACTTTAGATGTTTTCACAMAAAAAAATTATCTCCTCAAGTTACCAATATGTACGCTTTAGTTTCTTATGTTTACCTCCTTCTAGGTTACAAGATTTGTGTCATTTTCTATTCATAATCTTAAAATAAAGATGTTCTTAGGAAAAAAAAAAAAAGAGAGAGAACCACTGATAATACAAGCAGTGTTTCTAATGATCTTGAAACATTCACCATAAAGTTTTTATCCTGTGTTACATGTTTTCAGCTTTTGGGTGCATCTCAACTAGTATATTCTCACTGCTATTCTACTTTAAGGCAGCCACTTCAACTGCTTCRTATCTGTGCATAAGAGAGGAATTCAAAAATAAAAGTATCAGATGAATATAGACAGGACTTGTTTCTAAGCAATGAAAGAAATATGAYGGAAGAAACCAATCCTTGAGCTTTGAAATCTCTTTTTACTCAGGCTGTATTGCTTCTTTCTGAAGAACATTTAAATAGACAAACTAGGCGAATCCTTTCAATACTAAAGCCCAAACACAGAATAATATTCTGCTTCACAGGGTATACAGCAACCCTATCTTCTGGTGCATAGACTCAGGTTCTCTCATGGTTAAATAAAGCAATACTGACACAGCCAAACACCAAGCTTTAAGAAAATTATGAGTTTTGCACTAAAGGGGGAGTATGGACAAGTACTGACTGCTTATTTATATGTGTGGAAGATTTATGCAAGACAAAAATCCTTATACCATTAGATCTAATATTTGAATAGTATTGTTTCTCTTACCGTCCTAAAAACTGGACCTCACCCCTGTGATGGTGAGGAATGGATTTGTACTTTCCTAAGTCTCCTTCTGGTCTTGTTACATTGTATCCAGCATAATGAACCCTACAGCATATAATAAAAACATATGCACACAGAATGTTAAAAAGATATTTCTACAAGTTTTAAAAAGTTACAGCAAAAGTAAAAAATACACATCAAATCTTTTAAAGTTGATTATTTGCATTCACTGACATTCTCTTCATAACAAAGTTCCTCTGTTTGAATAAAGAAAAAGGTATTGGTCTTTGATTCTTTTTTGGCAAAGAAAGAAAAATAGATTCCTTTGATTCTTTTTGTCAAAGAAAAAAAACGGACTCCTATCTCCAGAACAGACAAAGCTGGCAAAACTAAAGAAGTGTGCTGCTGAAATTAATCATTTCATATTTAGTGTTTCCTGGTTTAATCTTATGGTACAATAGCATGAGAAATTTTGAAAACAAACAGTTTGCTTTTAAWACTTATCCTTGCAAGAGCTATCCTTTAAAATACATATAGGTATGTCTGTACCTATGTATATATTTATTGCTAAGACTAGACGCCTATGTGAGCTACATATCTAAATATATATTTATATATAGCTCACATAGGTGTCTAGTTTTAACAAGCCAAAAGTTTAACATTTTTTACTGTAAGCAGTTACTAATGTACTATACAGTGAGCTTTATTATCCAACTTTGGATTGTCAGTATAGTCACAGAATTACTTACTGGTCACTACTCTTAAGATATCAAAGATTACTGCTTACTGTACAGTCTTTAAAGTTGTATTTCATAATCTYAGTTGCAGCCCAACTGAAAATGAAAAGCACACAGAGGAAGGAAAACAATGAGCCTAAATATGCTTAATATTATTATAAGATCTTTCTTTAAAAAGGCTGCTAATTATCCACAGGCAAAGAGGAAAGAACATCTTGTAAATAGTATGTTGTAATATTTCTAAGGGAACCCTTTAAAACTTTAAGGCAAAAAAAAAAAAAAAAAAAAAAAAAAAAAAAAAAATTAACACCATCAAGTCGTGGATATCATAGAACAGTATGAAACACAGAAGCGCACAACACTTACCTGTTCCAAAGGTCATCATCTTCTCCACCCCATCCCCAAAAGGCATTTGGAAACCCATTGATCTTCTTGAATTGTTCTACTGTCAGTCCACTTACACCGCCAAAGAACTCATTGTAAGGAAGACTGAAAATGATGGACACATTTTATTTATTATTAGCTGAACCTACATAAGTAAACCTGTCTTTTAAACACTCTTTTCAATAGAACAAAACAAACAGAAAAATCAAACTAAGGACAGGAACAGATGTTGAATGTATTCACAAGGAAAGCTGTTTCATAGATCACTGGCATTAACAAAGACATAAGGAAGCTACATAAAATGTTTGTAGTTCTTTTTGATTCGTATTAAAAGGTAATATTTGGAAGTAGCTCAAATTAGTATAATCACATGAAATAGAAGTTAGCACATAGTTAAGGTGATTGCTTTAGATCTAAAGCTGAATGAAAAGTAAAGCCTACAAGTGGTGTATTTTAACATAAGTAGACTGAAAAAGTTTCTTTTATCGAATTGAAAAATAATAATCAATCTAGTAATTTGAATTCATGCCCATATCCTATAGAACTGTGAAAAATGAAAATACAACCATTTAATAGTACATACTCAATAGCAGTAAAATACATATTATTAAAAAAAAGGAGCATCGTGACTTTCACAAGTTCCTTTTCCAATTAAATAGCTTTTCTGCCAGTACACATATTACTTATTAATGTACACATATTACTTATTAATAAATATTTATTAATTGGTGTTAGCAGCTGGCCAACATGAACAGCTAAGATGGTTAACATTTGATTCCATCTTGGTCATTTAGGAAAGCAGTTTGTTAACAGACCACAGTTCGTTCTTTTTCAAGAAGTTGCCATAGTTGTTTAAATTGATTCTGTTTTGGGGGGGGCGGAAGAAAAAAAATGCAGTTTCATCAAATAAAAGTAACTAAATGTAATTTTCCTGCCTCCAAACCTGGAAATCAACAGGTGTTAGCCCTATCTGCAGAAAATTTAACTATTGCTTAGGTCACAACATTCACTGTGGACACTAAAGGAAGAAACAGCTCCAGAATATGCRTGTGGAGGTGCGGGAAGAAAGGAGGGTAAACAAAAATAGACGACCACTGGCATAGCCATGTAACCTGTGATCTCTGTGAGAAGAGAGGGTTCACTAAAATCTTAACAGCTTTTAGGGAAGGTTGTTGCTAAATTAGTTTTCTATATATCCCTTCCAATGTTTAATTGAGATTGTGGGGATTCTGAGAAAACCAATGGAATTTGAGGTTTTTATGTATGTGAGCATGCAAGGATGCGTACATCAACATGAGTGTTTATGGATTTTAAATGTTTATGTTCATATATGTGAGTATGAACATATACACAAAATCTTTTAAGTTTTGATTGCTAGGTGACAGACAACCTAAGGTCTAAATATGCAGTCACATCTCTAGTGCATAATTCTTGATCTGACAGCATTAAAATTGATCAACTTAACAAATACATATTCAGGACAGCAAATATCCATATGCAGAAAGGAAGAATGATCTGAAACAATTTYGAAAGATTGCTGAGACAGTAGTCACAAAGTATTAAAAAAGCAATTGAAACAATCATTAATGTAAAAGGATAGAAGGTAAATGAACCTGCAGGACCAATAACATTCATCAGATTTCAATACACACTGAATATAAAATATGTAATGGTCTAATCAACAGAGAAATCTTCTGCTTTCTCTGACACAGAAAAAAACAGAACAAATGGTAAATAAATTATAGAACTGTGAGAAAATTAAGGAAGAAACTTTTCCCACTATATTTTGCTACAAATGTCATTTGTTTTCTTATTATCTGCTCACTTTGTCAACAGAAAAGGCTTATATTACCAGAAAAGCTTTCTAATAAAACATTTTTCCCCTCTCTTGACAGAGGGACATAATTTGTTGAGATCATGTTTACTGCTATAAATAGTGGCTCATCCAGTTAAAACAGTGAAAACATTTAATATCTTTAAGTTAGCAATGTCTAAATATAGTCACTAAGCTTAATTCTTCCTCTCCTATGATGATATTCATTCACATAAAGACTATGGTAGCAGGTTGTATTATTGCTTTCATCTCCTGTAGATATCATCACAGATTTCACATACATACTAAGACTGTTTCTGGGTCTTTAAAAAAACAATATGAAAAAAGACTTGTATTTACATGTACATGTACTTGTCCAGCTTTGCTGCAAAGTGACGTGGCATTTCTCCACACCCATAATAATTTCGGTCATTTTCAGGTAAGTGATCCACATCATGGAATATCACGCAGTCCCAAACAACATCCTTCATAGCCTCTTTGAAGCCAACATTAAAGAGCATTGCACGATTAAAAGGTTGTGTACCTGTCTTCAAACAAAAAAGCAAAGGAGAACTTTTAAGAATCTAAAACAAAGAGAAACTATCCCAATAATACAACTATATCATCCATCACATAGAAAAGCATTGAAAAAATGYCTGTTATTACTCTAAAAGAATTTCAGATGCTGTACCAATACTTAAACTCAATTATATATTTATAGCTAACATCATACTAGAACATACTTGCAATTTCCTAGAGATCTATACAGTTTGACTTAAAACTTTATTTCTAATACAAGTTAAATACTCACACTTTCATTTGTTCTTCTTTTCTTCTTCTCTAAGAAGACTTTACTCTAAAAAAGCTATATGATTTACAAGAGATACTGATATAACAAATGCGTTATACAGTATAATTTTTAATAGAAATTAGTAGACTCTCTTCTCTATTTTCTGCATTTTTTTCATTTTGGTCACCTCAAAATATTGTATAAACCGATGAAAGATAAGATCAGTAATTTCTTCTCTGCTTTGTACAGCCAATAAAGGTCCTCAAGGTAACATTCAAAACATCTTAAAAAAAAAAAAAAAAAAAAAAAAGAATGTGTTTTTTTCCTCCATTTCCATGGCTCTTTGCTTCTGCAGAGAGTCTTAGCCAAGATACTAGTGAGTAGCTTTACATCAGGGACATTTCCGTTACCTTTAACTTTGTTAATCAAATAATATATATATATATATATATAAATTAAAGCTATTAATTATATATAATATATATTTATATTAAAGCTATGTCTTTGACTGGATTTAAGTGTGTGCTGTAAAATAGCCTTCTGCAATGATCATTTTCAACTTTATTGCACTTTTTACCATGATAAACCTACAAAGGCATGACAACAGATTTCAGAGCAGTGTAATCAGCTATTAAATGTGAGCTTGCATTCAAAGAAAGGCAGTAGGTTTCCAGCCACAGAGTAATCTAGGGAACAGAGATGAATTTTCCTTTTTCACTCAATGGATTACAGCAGCAGAGAAACAATTTGATAAATTTTGGATTCATCCAAATCTTCATGATAATGTCAAAACTCCCTTACRAAGGAATCTTGAAGAGTCACATTTCAAGTAAACACCATTACCTGTTCAACAACATAGAAGGCAAATTCCAAACGCTGCTTCTGCAACATAGGTATCAGGTGTCGGAAAAAGATTGGAAGATGCTCATGACGATTCCGAAAAGGAATGAGGATTGCCACCTTCAAAATGTTATATATGTTAAGGTATCATATTAACATTTTAAAATTTTAATATTTCAATATAGATTAGGCCACAGAAGACCTATATAGGCTTTTCAACTTTATATTCAAGTTGGCTTAATATTTAACAGCATTTTCACTCCCATTAGGGAAGGAACTTAGAATTTAACTCAAGCAATTACAAGAAAAGGGATGATTTTGAAATGGAAACGAGATAAAATTTTGTTTGTATGCCCATTTGCTTCACATTAAGCAGCATACAAATAAGATAGAACTTTGTAACCTCATGATAAAAGAACAAAGTTCATGATCATTCACGAAAAGTTCACAACATTCTAGTTTAAGTTTTTGTTCAAACTTTAATCTTTTCTTCAGCACACGTAACATGGACTATAGTGCACTGCATTATATAAAACATATTGTAGTAAAGGGTAGAGTGCTTGCAACTATTGCACATATCTACAGGGAAAAAAAAAGTGATCTCACCTTCCATCGTGGCTTACAGTCTTTTGGTTTCCAGTGTCCTCCTGGCTTAATGTCTAAATCTTTTGAAAACACTTCCTGAATTTCATCAAAACTAATTTCACTCATATTCACATTGATAAGGCCTCCTAAATACAGGAAGATATGCTGTATTTACTCATTTCAATTAAGACAACAGATCTAAATCTTTAAGTTATATCATAGGTATATACTTAGGTTTTACAGAATGAATGTTATCATTGTCCCATATAAATCTTGTAAACAAAACACTTATTTCAAAATAATTTGAACTTTGTACCTCTTCCAGAAAAGTGAAAGTCACCTTTTAAGTATAAGTCATTATGAATTCACACCATCTGTGCTAYTGAATTGATAATTAAATTCTTCCTGCCTGCACCTTGACACAAAAGGAGCTGCACTGTCACTGTGACCAACCAACTTCCTCAATCTTAATATTAAATAGCTACACTCCCTTCATTAACAGCCTTCACCTATTAATCCACTAATGTCTGCATCAGACCAGTATATAGCAAGTAACTTCATTTGAGAAATATCATTAATTAGCCCAATGGTAAAAAGTAGTTGATAACAGAGCTATACAGCTATATATCATTGAGTTTATGAATGTGCATAGAGTTAAAACTAAGACAAAAAAAAAAAAAAAAAAAAGATTTATAAGAACTAGTCTAGCCTGAAAAGCAAAAGCAGAGTGAATCATGAAAATTCAGGGAGAAGAACACTCTAATATCTGGTAAACAAAAGCCCTAACTGCCCTTCAGCAGCTACAAACATAAAAATCAAATAAAAATCTTGCAAGAACTATTTGACAGATTTCATAAAATATTCTACTTATTTTATCCTGAAATTCAGAARTCTTTTGGAGAGGCTGAGAATTTTAAAGACATAAAGAAATTACATCCATTTTCTTGCCTGTACCTTTGTGTCCAAGAACTGACTGAACTGACTTAAATTTGGGACCTTTGGAAAACATCTACACTTTTCTAGAATAATGACTGGTTTCAGAAGAAAGTAAAAGACATCACAAGAGCCACTTTAGGTATAGATCTGATTAATAAGGTAGAACTTATTGTCAGTCTAAATATAGAAGGTAATTTAGAAAAGGCTCAAGAGCAACAGAATAAGGGAAAGATATTCTATAAGCAGATTCAAACAACCCACGTTTTCTTAGAAGGAGAAAGAAAACTGGCAGTTCCCAAAAAAGAATATATAAAAATATTCCAGAATAAGCTAATCCTACACTTTTTTTTTTTTTAAAGCATAGTCTATGATCACTGCTGTTTTACCTGAAACTCAATAAAGGTCAATCATCAAGCTTTTGACACACCAGCACAACATTCTATTACATAATACAGCAAAATATATGGCAAAAGAATCAACAAGAAGATGTAGTAGAACTCATCAAAGAAGTTTTCAAAATCAGTAGTATTTCACTGCCAGCTTGAGGGAGGCAGGAGAAGGCATCTCAAGCTTAGCCTTAGTATTTCATTCTTCCTTTCACATCTACTCTATTGCAATTAAAAATAGACTAAAACAAACAAAGAAAGGGAGCAGCATCTGAGGAAGCAAAGATGCAGAAAGTAGTTTGAAAGACAACACTAGCAAAGCTTACTTCTCTGGAAGGTGGTTTTCATTTGTTTCTTTTTTTGTGAATTATGTATAACTAGATCATAATGTCAATTAATATACATTTCTATTACCGATATACTAAAGCAAAATAGARTTGAAAAGCATTCTTCATACCTTGTTATACAGATACGATTTCTACCTCATCAGTGCTCAAAGACACTAATAAAGTTTATTTTTTGTATCTACCAAACTCTTAAACGCATCTCTTTAGTTGTTGATCAAACTTGAAAAAAAGATTTTTGTTTTAAGAAAATAGGGTTATCAACTTAGTGATATGCTTGGTATGATATGGATTTGAATAAATACATTAAATAATTATTTGAATACTAGCTTATACCAAAGGACAGTCCCAAGTTTAAGTCAGGTGCTTGCCTAAAAAAAACAAAGTAATAGTTCTGAAAGGTGTTACAAATATTTTTAGAAACTGTTCCAAGYTTTTTTCCTGTACAGCACAGTAAATAAAGCAGTAAATGTTTGGTTTTAAGTACAACAACTAAAAACGAACATTTTAATATAAAGGATGCTGCCAGATACTAATTAACAATCATTTCTGGAAACACATTTGCACTTATTTACAGAGAGTTATTGATTCTCCTTCTCTAGCTGGAACATTCTGACACCTAATGAGACATTTCAATGTAACTAATTACCTTTGAGATGTATGCTAATGCTGCTATTAGAACTTTCCTTGAAAATATAATATGAAGCCTGAGTGTAAAGTATCTGGAAGAACTCTATTCCATGTATTACTAATACAATGATTTCTTACAAATACAGGATACAAAAAATGTGTTACTTAACCATCCCCTTGCAACCTACAGCTACTCAGACAAACTAATAAAATTACTCAGAGAGAAGGAAAAAAAAGCTCATGAACTCACATGTCAATAGTGCCTCCTAAATAGAATCACTGATTTACCCATGTAACTGCAATTTTATAAAACTTCAACCTAAAAAAATCCCCCAAAAACCAGAGGGGTGGGGGAGACCACCATCAGGAGCCATTTTCCACACAGTCACCTAACACCTCCTGGTCTTGCTGATTTACTTTCTCTAGAAGCTTAAGGGGGACAAATGTTCAGGGTTTCATCAAAAACCTAATTTTCTATACTGGGAAAGGCAGAAAAATGACAAGCTCGCAGGATACGGGAATTTAAACGAAATTTCACAGTTCTTAAGAACATTTCTATTCTCATTTTTATTTTTTTTTGAAACAAGGGTACACTTTGTAGTTCACAGAATCAGAAAAAGTCACAGTAGCTGTCTTCTGGCCACTTTATTAAACCAGGTTAAGATCACTTAATTACACCAAGAAGCTCCTTTTATCTCAACTTTAGCGACACAACACCTGCTTCTAATCTATGTTCCTCTTTCTTTGCGATACTGCTACCTAGGAATGCTGTGATAATACTGCTTTTTAAAAAAATGCACCAAAAGCGTGTCAAAGTGTGTCAATTCCATAATTCAGCATGAAATGCTCTAAGAACTTTCAGAGAAAAGAATTTGAAGTTTAGATTTTGAGCAAACGATTGCCAAAAAAATTAGGGTTACATAATCAAATTTTCATAGCTTGGGATAATGAAGCATTCAAGTTGGAAAATTTAACTTTACATTCTCTTGAAATCCACAACTTTTCACTTTTTATGAAAGTACTACAGAGTTTTAGAACATTTTTACCGCTGTCAATTCTCCCTTCACCATATCATCTTGTTCAGCCTTTTTTATATTGTAGTTTCTCACCAATCTTTGTATTAGGAAAATATATCCCAAACAGTCAATGTTTCCTCAAAACCTCATATATATATGGTAAAATAAAATTCAAAGAATCAGGAGATCATTAGCAAAGAAGTCAAGAAGTAATAATATAAGACTTACAGAATTCTGTTTAGCACTACTGTCCATTCTCATATTTAATTTATTCTTTATTCTGTGTGAAATATTTGCATGGTTTACAACTACACTTCATATAAAGCAATCACATTTTGATTGTTTACTAGATAAAACATTAAGGATAAAACTGGATAAACATTAAGGTCCGTTTAAAACTTACTCATGTAAGGCAATTTTTCTGGACAAGCCTGGTAAGGAGAATAAGTGAAGTTTTCCGGAAGATACATTCTTGTTTGAGCAAGATAGTCACTAGAATTGTTCCCTTCAGGATAATCTTAAAAAAAATAATAAAAAGAATGTAAAAACTTAAGGTATCCACTGATTTTGGTTAGCATCATGCAGATGARTACAAAAAAAAAGTTTAAAATAAAAAAATCCTAACAATATAGCTAAAAAAATACAACATGAAAATAACAATGATTTAAACTCAGATATCTTTGTTACAGCTATGACAAATCTGTTTGTCTAATAAAGTTCAAAAAGAAACTGCAACTATTTTGCCCCAATTAAGTTACAGAGAAGGAGGACTTGATTCTGGATTTTCATAATCAGATTATGCTTTTAAGAATTCCTTTCATAAAGCAGTTTTAAAAATAAAATATGAGATATGCTTACCTGTGCCATTCAGTGTAGTATTTTTGTTAGTGTACAATCTGATCATATGTCCTATTGTTTTCACATTTTCTCTCAACATTATACCGCGAGCTTGCACCATGAAGAGATATGTATTGGCTGATAAAACAAAAAGCAAATTTTGAATTAAAGTGAGATATTGCAAATTAATTTCATATCTATTTATAATGTGTTCAGTATTTATTATTTTGTCTGGATTCATGGCTACTGAACTTCAAATTCTTCCAAGATAAATTTCCATGAAGAGTGAAATCTTTCATCACCAAATATAAAAAAGAATCAAATGGATTCACAGCCACAGGTCTATACAAAAAAAAAAAAAAGAAAAAAAAAGAAAAAAACATATATAAAGCATATATAAAAAGCACATAAAAGCATATATAAAGCACATATGAAACATATATAAAAAATTGTATATGTTTTATATAATACATTTTAATTTCTCTCTACCATGCACAAAGTAACTAACTCCATTCACTTATCAACAAGTAGGTTTTCATGTGTAGACACATCAACTTACCTCTCTTTCATGTATTGCATTTATGTACACAACTTGCATGTAAGACAAAGACATCCAGCAATTTTAGAGTCAAAGCATTGTCCCTTTTGCTAACTTATTAACAAGAATACAATTGTCAGCCAAAATGTACTGCTATTCATTCACTCCCAGAAGCCATTTCATTATACAATTATCATATATCACTGGCAACACTGAATTATTGCTGCTTGATAATTACATGAAAAATATTTATTATTGGTATCAAGGGGAAGAAAATCAACACACTGAGCAATCAAGCAACATACTAATGGCTACAGCACCAAATATGCCTGTATATCTCAGGCATGTACATTAAAAAAAAGAGGAAGGGAAAAAGAGAAAAACAAAACGCTTATGTCTGAGTAAGTAAAAGGCCCAAAGGGATTATCTGTCATTTCAGAAGGATTATCTGTCATTTCAGAACGTCAGTTCAGAAACTTCACTTTTACTATCTTTATCAGATATCCCTGCATCAATGGCATGACACAAATACCTTTGTATCAGTTTGTGTGTTCTCATAGAACAACACAGAAGAGTAGTACTAAGGACAGAGGCATTTCCAGAGAAAAATACGATTACTAATTACTCTACATTATCAAACGATACTACAGATACCCAAAGAGATCCATATACCAACATATCTTTTAAATAATAGTATTTGTAAACCCTGCTTCCTTCTGTCTGCCCTCCCCCTGCTTTTTTTCTTTTTTTTTAAATAATAAATGGAGAGTTCTGCTTGCTCTTGAAGAATACTTTACTCAGAATGCATCATATTTACTCAGAATGCACAGCTGACAATTCTTGGCCAGTATGACTAGTTGTTTTCGCTAATGAGAATTTAAATCTGCATAAGTTACTTAGATGCCAAGATCCTCAAAGTGTCTCAAAATCTCATGTCACTTAAAAAAAAAAAAAAAAAAAAAAAAAAAAGAGTTCTCAGCCTTGAGCTTGAGGGAAGCCTAATGATATGGGCTAATGATAAGATGGAAGCAGACAATCAAAAAAGAAAGATTCTTCCCTGCTCCAAGACAATTCTGAAGCAGAAATCACTTCATGTTCACCACAGAAAATGTGCACAAATACAACATTTTAACTCAATTCACTATCAGGTAGTACTTTGGGGTTCCAATTATTTTCTTAGATTAGTACTCTTCTATTCAAGTTCTGTGTTTCTATGGTATCTGTATTGAATATTTTGGGAAAAATTGTAAAATTCTTGGTCATAGACGAAGATATTTACCCAAAAAACCTTCTCCTTCAGGAACCAACATAGCAGTAAATAGATCTACTACTCAAAAAAAAAAAGTTATTTACCATTAAACAAAGAATTTTAAAATTCAGAGCTTTGATGAAAACATAAATAAGTGGCCTTTCAAATCGGACAGAATTTTCCTAATTAATAAAGGTCTTTTTTTTTTTTTTTTTTTTTTTTTTTTTCTCTCTCCTTTACAAAATGTAGTATTTCTTGATCAGGTATCTTGTTTTCCTTTTTTCCCCCCACATATTATTGCACAGCTCTTTTCTTGAACGTCTCCCTATTGCAAGACTATTTTTTAAATCTGTTTAATGAGCACTGATGTCAGAACCCTTCACATTGGAGATGAATACTGAAAGGCTGTAGGCCATCTTCCCCTTTTAACTAGAGAGCAAAAGCCAAAGTCATTTCTGTTTTTAAGACGGCAGAATGGTTTATAGAAACACAGCATTAATCTAGATACTTCAGGATATACCAAACATTATACTTTGCACTGATTTAACTTGAATTACATTGTGTCCAAATCTATATCACTTACTATTAAGATATAACCTCTTTTTTGTTGCAACAAAGAAATTATTCATTAATGAAACATCGCTTAGRCAACTGAGAAAAAATAATCCTGGAAGCTAGATATAAACTTCTGTAATAGGCAACATAATGAATTTCTAGACAATGAAAGGCAGATTATAATTTTTACAAGAAAATAATTATTTTCAGGTACCTATGATCAGATCATAAACTGCATGGACATGTTATTACTGTGCAAACGTGCTATACTATGCCAAAATTAAGAGCTCTTTCACACATATATTAGATTTGATAATTTGCATCTCCAGGGATTTATGCTTAGACCTGAATCAGACAATCCATAAATCATTGCATCATTTTATTCTTGCTTTCTTTGCATCATAAACAATGCAAAACCATAACTTTAAACTTCTTTAAAAGGATACCATTTTTCTTAACAAGTAAGGTTATTTCTTTTTCATCTATTTTCATGTTCACCAGTCTTTGGAATTTTTCTGGTTGCTACCAAACCATACTGACTGCAAACACTGGACCTGATACACAACCAGGTGTTACCTATTAGACATACCCATAGTCAATCATTATGGAAACCTAGCAGTCAGTGAGGCTTGTGTCCCAGCACTGTACGCAGCATGGTTGAGAGGCAAGATTTATTACAGTAGTTGATGTAAGTAATACATGAAAAACTACTCTAAACACATTATTGTAGTAGTATTAGGAACTTGATACAGTGCACAACTGAGTTAAGATCTTGACAAAAGTACACAAGAAACTTGAGGGGATCACATTGCTGTCCTTAGCTCTCATGAAAAGATTTCCTGTAGCCCAGATCAAAATGAAATTACAAACCTCAATAAAACAGACTTTCTGCAAGAGCATCTCATCTTGCCTTTGTTGAAGGGCAATTTATTCTTGTGAAGAGGAGAAAAATGAGAACACAAGGCCTTTAGGAAAGACAAAGCTAGAAAAGATATTTCTCTAAAAGCGCAGGTGTCATGAAAAGATAATCAGGACCCCAAACCAGACTAAAGTCTGCTGTCACTTCAGGGTAAGAGCTCTTCAAGAGCTCTTCTTGCCAGCAGGAAGATTTAGTCTTAACATTTTTGCAATAAGACATCCTTGAAGTATTTCCCATTCCAACATCTTGTCTGCCTGGATGGTTTGCTTGCCAAGCTACCATGCATCTCTAGCCAAGCACCTAAACATGTCTTTTTTCTATAGTCTCTACAGGGTTTATCCCAATTACTTGAGAGTAATGCAACAGCAATTATGAAAATTACAGATTTTGAAGAAATTGTGCTTTATATCAGAGATCTCCCTGCATAAACATTCTAAGTATCAACACCCTCCTGAGACACGTTTATTGATGCAGCAGAAGTTTCTGATTCCATACATGAGGTCAACATGTCTATAAAACAACAACAGTATAAGGACATATTTGCCTGGTGCATGATCCGGCATTATCAAAGATCTTAGTAAAGTGAAGAAAACAGGGGTACAGACACAAACAAAATGACAGAACATTATTTTTGTATCATCACATTTTATCACGGCATAGCAAATTCAAGTATTTTGCATAAAACTGTATGTCAAGGTAGCTTTTGCAATTCAGTCCTTCTGTGAGTTATTGAGGGCTGCAGCAGACACTGACAGGACTTGTCATAGCAAAATATCCCAGTCTTTTCTTGTTTATGCTCATATTTTCATAAACACATTGCAGCATATAGGAGGAAATAAATAACTGTTAAGAAAGTAACAGCCAGCACCAAGACTAACAGAGGAATAGCAGATGCTTRAGCTGTCACTGAATTGCTTGAGAAGATAATAGCATCAGGCAAAAGTCAAAGACACTACCTTCGTCCTAAAAATAAATTTGGTCTACTGGCATGCTTCTGCCAGCAAAGATGTATGAAAGACGACAGTTTATATGTCACGTAAATAAGGCGTGAGGGTAAAAAGAGACACCCCTGATTCAAGAAACATGCAGACATCCAAACGCACAGTACATAAGGTAAAAGAATGGGAAATTCAGAGCAATATATAAAACACCTGTTAAAACATCTTGAAAGAAATACTATACTGAATGCTTCAAATCCAGATACAGTGTGAGTATCAGCTCATACCTTTACTGGTAATCGATCCAGATCTACATAAGCAGTCATGGAAACATAGCCACATGTTATAGATCAAAAGTCCTGCATTTAAGTACTATTAAAACTCATTAAGACAAAGCACATTACAGCATTAAGGGATCATCCTGTATTTCAGAGGACACTGTTAAAAATACCAGGTGGATCATTTTTCTATAGCAAGTTGTTAATAGCTTTCTGTGTTGGACTGAAAGACAGTGGGGAAAAAAGTGCATTAATTCTTAAAATATCTTTTAAAAAGCCTTGCAGTCTTTCATAACAGGTAACACATTGTTATTCACCTGAAGACTATTTACAACTTTATTAAAGCAAAAATCTAGCATTAATCCAATTTTCAGATTAATCTACATTAGATATTCAAGATAATAATAGGAGTATATCAAGAATAAAATTTTTTTGCAACACTTAATTTATCATTACTCAACTTCAGAGTGTGCCAAGCAGTGTTATAGAGAAACTTTCTAACATATCATGGTATATATGCGTATCATCAAAAGCGAAGTCAAAACAGCATGCTATTCACTTAGAAGCAATCAACATAAAAAATATAATAGAATTTTTGAAATGATACAGTACATTACAAATTGGATCAATGACTAGCATGCTGATGACCATAAAGAAGAAG